GCTTGAATGGCTGCTAGCATATCAAAGAGCATGAGCCTTTTGAAAATACTCAAAAAGTGAAGAGGTGCCTTTCTTTAGAGTTTGAAGTTAAAGATGCAATTGGAGTACTTGTGCTCTTGATGTCGAACCAAATGATCATGCTTAAGTGAACCAAACTTTTAGTGAAGCAGATAATCCAACAACCTGCAACAAGACACTTTCCATCAAATGGTCGTGCTAAAGTGAACAACCTGTGTGAAGCCAATATTCATAATTTGGGTTTCAAAGTTTCTTGTCATTGGCATTTGCAATTTCCATTGGAGGGGGCTTTGATTTGCCTTCAACAATACTCATCAGACCATATATTTTGCAAATAGACATGAACTGGGAATGCCACATCATATAATTCTCACCAATCAATTTTATGAGAATTAGGAATGGTAACGGGGTGGGGCACCTTGTCCCCGCCCCGAAGTCAAGATACTTTGCCTCGTCCTTGGTGGCGGGGTTGGGCATCCATTCCCCGTCGGGGATGGGTAATCACCGAATTTTCCCCGCTCCAAGGCAACTTCTTAAAAAGTATTTATTTTGTAGACAATTTACACATATAATATAAGAATTTTGGGATATTTTAAGAATTGAATATAATAGTTTGAGGGTACTTAAAACATGGAATTATGGAATTCTAAGATTTTAAAAATTTAGGAAAAACTTATAGATATTTTAAATATCAATATTAAACCTAGAGATATTTTACTAATTTTACCTTCGAGTTCGGGGCGGGTTCGGAGAATTATATACAAAACTCATCACTGCCCTATCCCCGATTCAAGGAAAAGTATTTTCCCCGTCCCTGCCCCATCCCCGTTTAGGGTCAGGGAAAACCTACCCTGTTCGGGGTAGGGCTCTGATTTTACAGGGGAAATTGCCATCCCTAATGAGAATAAGATGTAAGAGTTTAGAAGATAAGACGCAAGAGTCTTGTATTTAGTCATCCAAATGGTGATAGGCTCCTATTAGACTCAGACTCCATCTTGAACTTGGGCTTAATCCTTGCTTGCGTAGCCATGGAAACTATCGTTTACATTAGACCACAACAATGGAGGTTTTAAGATGGTGGAGGAAAAAAGGTTTTCTAGCCTAGAATCCTTGTCTTCCATGTATTCACTCTTTTTTTCATGCTCTCTCTCTTTCTCTCTCTCCAATTAAATCTTAATTTTTTTGCTACCTTAATTTGAAAGCAACATTGATCAATCTATTTGTTGTCCATCACAATTTGGAGGAGAAATTCCAAAATATTTATAAAAAAAATGCAAATCCAATAAATCTAGGGCCCGTTTGGCGTATCTTTCCATGTGGTCTTTCGGCTGTTTATAAGTCGGAAAGATAGAAAATCTATCTATTCTCATTTGGCATGCGGAAGATCTAGCCACCAAAAGACGGGGTGCCAAAAAAACACAAAAAACCCATTTTGGGCTGATTTTGGGAAGCTCCAAATAAAATTTCTCGTATCTTTCACATTTTAATCTTACATGGAAAGACCCGAAACGATACACGGAAAGACAAGTATATGCCAAACGTTCTTCAGACTGCTCAGATGTTATGTTGAAAGTTCAATACGTCTTTTGACTATGATGTTCTCAAAAAAGAATTATCCAACGGGCCCCTAATTTCTCGAGTAAAGAAAATACACGAGGAACTGTTGTCTTAAATGACCACTGTCGTGAGCTTTTCGCAACATAGCTGGATTTGATAGGTTAGGCAAGGACAACTCTAGTTGGGAATAGGAGATTTCTGCAACGGATGTAGACATCACCAAGGATTTTGGTGATCAGCATACACCAACTTCAACTAGATCATTGACGAGTGGACAACTCAACTCGGATCAAGTTAAGGAAATGAGAAACAGAGAAGCAGATGTAGAGGATATTAATCAGCTTCTCTTTACAATAGTTTAAGACAATTGACCAAAGCAAACTTGTATCAGTGACCTTGATTAAAGCAAGTTTTCTGTTTAATTCTATAAAGTCTAATTTGTTCTTTTCTGTTCTTCCATTTATGTGGCTGCAAGTTTTACAAAGTCTTGAATTGATGACTATTCTTAATCCCCCTCGACCCCATCTTCATCATGGCCTCTTCAGTTAGTTTTCTTGAACCGTTGAATTGTTTGCGGCCTATAATTTTTGTTGTTTTCTGTTTTATTTTTCAATTTTCCATTATTTTGTTATTATAATTTTTATTATTTATTTTTGCAATTTTATATTTTCTACAATTTCTATTCTTTTTTTTTTGAAATTTTTTGTTTTTCTTTTTTTTTTTGTAAATTTGGTTAATTTTTCTTCATTTCTGTATTTTTATATTTTTGTTGTTTTATGCAATTTCTGTTTTTCTATTTTTATGTAATATATATTAATTTTCTGTGTTTTTTGTATAATTTCTGTTATATTTTCTTGAAAATTTTGTTAATTTTCTGAATTTTTACATTTTCCTATAATTTCTATACTTTTCTGCAATTTTTTTTTATTTTCTCATAATTTCTGTTTTTATTTTTTGTGTAATTTTTTTTTATTTTATCCAAATGGATTAATTGAATTGGGTCAAGGTGGGTGTAAATTGAACCCAACACATTTAATTTTCTCTAAATGGGTCATTAATGGGTTGGCAAGTCATATGAGTTTGATTAAAGCTCAATCCTAACCCGCCGAATTGCCACCTCTATCAGGAACATCTCCCATACTCAGTATGAGGACTGCTTTGTCAGGAGCAAATCCGGATTCGTCAATAACTATATGGATATTGTTTAGTCATTCTTTTTTATTTAAAGCCATATCCATTAATTGTTATATAAGCTATTAATACTTAAATCATTTCTTATTATTTCTATTCATGTTCTCTTTAATCTACCTCTAGCCTTTTAATCCTTTCAACATGTATATTAGGAGAATAAACCACTAAAACCAGCTTGCTCCATATCAAGAAGCCTTTCTTTGTCATAATGGGCCACTTTGAATACAGTGGATGGAGTGTCTCTCTTCGTCACGCAATAAGTTTATTAAGTAGGAAAGAAGGCCACAGGGAATGGATTCTGCCTATTAATTTCTTTATATCTCCACCATTTAAAATATGATATAATTATTAAGCTAGAAACGACTTGATCTCCATATGTTTGAAAACAACTTGTATTTTTCTTTATGATTTAAAAGTAGATTTGTTAGAGTTTATTTGGTTTATTTCTGGAATTGGAATCAAAATTCTTCAAAATTAAAATCAAAATGATCAATTCCCATAATCAATTTGGTTTAGACGGGAATCAAAATTGGAATAAAAATCATGGGAAAGTGCTATTCTACCAGGAATAGAAACGGGGGGCCCTGATTCCTGATGCTCCTATCTTCTGATTTGCAACGAAATGAATTTTCTCTTGTGTACCAGAAAATAAAAATAATCTCATCGTCTATTATCGTAAAAGATGCAAATGGGAATATACTATATACTGGACTTCAATACCCCCTTACCCTGTATTACTATATATCATCTCTCCTAATATTCTTTGGTGAAATTTTGGTCTCCATACGAGCGGCCTCTTATTGAATGTGAAATTTTCAGATCTCCAATACCGCCACCAGCTCCATATCCCCCCCACCAAGACGCTGCCTACCACCTCCAGCGCCACCGCCGGCGGCGTCATCACCAAAAGCACCATCTCCTCCAATGCCTCCTCCGAGAAAACCATTTATACCGCTTCTAGTTCTTCATCCTCTACCAACCCACCTTCCATGCTATCATTACCACCACCCTCGAAGCTTTCCCCACCTCCAACATCTTCCTCCACACCCACAGTTGCAACATATATATATCTCCGCCAGCACCAAAATCTCCTACATGCATGGCTACCACTGCCACCATAGACACCACCGCCAGTGCCGGCTTGGCAACTAAGTGGAATGATGGTCTCCATCCCTCCATCAAAAAAAAGCTAGCTACCCCCAAGACTTCTCAATATCTCCACTGATATCTCATATTTTCTACCACACATCTAGCATGCATGCTGGGCAGCTGGTTAAATGTGTGAGTGCATCTTCATACTGTCATCCGCTTTAGCACCAATTCACTAGTATTTTGCTGTTGTAACTTATTAATGTAAGGTAGAACATGCAACGTACATGGAGAGAGAGAGAGAATTGGGTTGAATCGACCCGATTTAAACAGAGTCTACTTAGATTAAAAATTTAGAATAATTCGGAGTATATATATATATATATATATATATATATTTATATTTATCATGTATCTAAATTTTGGGCTATGGTTGTCCTAAATCTAATTAGTATCAGATTATTATATATTATGTAAAATAAGAAGCGCGTAGTCAAAACTGAGCCTGACCCAAGCCCGAGAGGCTTGGCACATCTTGGTTCGTGAATATAGTTCAGTCAATGGTCTTCATTTAGGAATGTGAGGTTGCCTTTGAGATTAAAGTGCTTAAAGTATCGATACGTATTGGTTGATACATATCCTATTGGGAGTATACTCTTAGTATGTATTGGGGTTTTAATCGATTTAAGGGATGGACGGACCTTAAATCAGTTCCTCTGAACCGAATTGATTTGAAAAAAAAAAAAAAAAAAAACTATCAATACACCTGAGCGTAACGATATTTTGAATCTTGGTGCTTATTTTACTTATTTATCCACATATAATGCATACGTATTTGCACATTTTAAAGAATAAAAAGTCGTTCAGAATTTGTTTTTGTTTTTTTTAGAAGATGATGATATAGCGAATATGACAGTATGAGCTCGACACCATACATGTAAAATTATGGGAATACATTAACAAGGGTTTATGTAAAATTTAATCACAAAATAAATAACAGACGTACACCTTTCTTTTGATCAGCAAATAAAAGACTTTTTTTTATAAACAAATAACACACCTTAATACATAGTTACTCCAAACAGTAGAAGAAATGCATGGTTATAACTTATAAGCAAGCCTTTATTTTATTTTTATCTCCTCTCTCAAGGTAATCCACCACCAGCTCCTCCACCAAAGCCACCTCCTGCTCCACCACCAGCTCCACCCCCAAAGCCTCCTCCAGCACCACCACCAAATCCACCACCACCTCCAAAGCCTCCACCACCACCACCTAAGCCAGCACCCCCACCAAACCCAGATCCACCACCCAGACCAGCACCCCCACCCCCACCAAAACCACCCCCACCACCAAGACCACCACCGAATCTCTTATGAAAGAATATCTTCTCATCCTTGAACGTACTCTCTTTACCCACGAGCTTCCTGGCGCTAGTGTTGCAAACAAGAGCACCAAGGAAAACAAGGAGAAGAAGTTTGGTAGTCATCTTCTTTGGCACTAAGTAATAGTAGTAGTGATTCTTTTAGATGAGAAGTGGAGTTTCGACGGAGGGATTATATAGACGTTTGATCGACACTTTAATTTGCGGAAGGGGACGGTTGAGAAGGTTATAATTACACGCATCTCAGAAAAATTCCGTGTTAGGGCTGGTCCGGCTGGATGGTTAATATACCCCAACTGCCACCTTTCAAAAGAGACCCACCAGAGAGCTTCACCCAAGTTGATCACTTTGTTGACCTAAGAGATAAGACTTTTTCATGAATGATCTTTTCTTGCTTGCGAGTTGCGACTTCATTTTTCAACGCCTTCCCCACTTCACTCATTAAGCTACCTCTTCTTCTTCTTTACCACTAAGGCTGCATTTGGCATTCGATTTATCTTTTTTTGTCAGTTAATACACCCCAATCAATACTGAGTTTTTAATTGCAAAAATGAGATAAGTTCTTAAAATAAAGAATACCACTGAAGACTAAGTCATGATCATAATCTAACAATCAGAAGAGGTGTTATGAATCATGAAAAAGTGAAAGTACAATTCTATGGGAGCTCAGAACTCCTACAACCAGAAAAACTTCAGTCACGCAGCATCCAGTCACACATCAGGAATATCTTCTGTACATGTATGCTAAATTTGTGTAGAAATCTTTCCAATATACAGTTGGATTCCTATGCTTTCATGGTGTGTGTAGAGTTTTTGAACAACATTATTATTATGCTTTAATAGGTTTAGCATAATATTAATACTAAAAGCCATTAGATGGAGAAACATAATACTCAGTTTGGAAGGAGTGATTCTTGGGGAAACATTGCTTGGATACTCACAAATACAGAATTTGGCTGTACAAAACGTTACCCAAGGCATGAGAATCCATGTGATTTGAGTTTTTGGTTATTCGGATATCGGTTACCAGGATTATTGCAATGCAGGGTTACCAGGATTACTCTCCGGGAAAAATAAAAACCTCATGGGCCCATTATAGTGGAGGCCAAATGCAGAATTATTGCAATTTTTTGAAACCCACCCACTTATCCCCCATTTTTAGCGGAAAATGAGCGAATCCTATGAGCATGGAGATATAACAGGAGGCTGATGGGTATTGGACTGTCAATGGATTCCAAATATATATATATATATATATATATATATATATATATATATAATAAATCCAATATTTTATTTATATAAATGTATTATATATGTGTAAGTTAAAAAGTAACTAATCTTGAAAGCAATTTTATTAAACATGTAGTTCCCTCCACTCTCAAAAAAGTTACGGCTAGTTGAATATTGATTTGTTTTTTTATCTCCAAATCACTCTCGAAAGTACTCACTTCAAATGGTGTGGAATAACGACCAGATTTTCTAATTAATTTTTACTCCAACATGCTGTGAGACCCAACTAATTGAAATTTCACTTAATTGAATCATTTTTTACACACTATGATACCAGAATGGCATGATACCAAAAAACAAATTCATAACCAATTAACACCAGTGTAATATAAAAGGTAACCAATCAGAATATTGCTATTTTCTTAACTCAAATAAAAGATCTGCTACAAAAGCCTTCAATTGAACCAAAAAATCAATATAAAGGCTTTAAATATCTAAATATCTGGTGTGGGTTTCATTCTTATAGATAAAATCTTTTTTTTTTTTTTTATTACTCCAGGAAGAGAGGCAGCCACTTTAAATTTTATGAACCATTATAAAAGATAATAAAAAAATACAGAGGAAAACGTCGCCTGCCTTACCCAAAGACCGAAGATTACAAAACTCTCTCACTCTCAACCCAGCCCATACAAGCAGGAAAAAGAAAGTACCAACAAACCTAAATACCACTAACTGTTCCTAGCATTTGGCAAACAATTTGTGAGAATAGTATCCGAGTGGTCATTAGCTAGTTTTCCGTCAAAATCAACATAGCGTTTTGAAAACTTCTCAAAAAAAANTTACAGACTACTTACCGCCTACCGGTATGGTCACCGGCATCGGTTGGCAGAATGCAACGGGTTAATCTTCGGTGGGTGGGTTACAAAAGGGAAGAAACTAAGCAAACGGGGGGACGCATGTAGCAAGTAACTACACTGAAAAAGGGAAAGAGACTACATTTTTCACTAACCAGAAGAAAAAATAATTCTTAGCCATATAGACGTTCCAAATTTATGTTAGTTGCTATAAAAGCTAATTCATAGGTACGGGTCATGATAGAAGAAAAACTTGTAACCTGTGTCATAAAAGTGATTAAACCAATCAGGTGGTATTTATCAAAATCCATGGGGGTTTTGATTGGTCAATGTCCTTCCGGCAGCATAGATTATCCATATATAAATAACATTTCTTTTTGCACAAAAATAGTTTCTCTCAGACTCGAACTTGTATTCTCGCTCATGTCAACCAGAGATATTTGTGCTGAGATCTTGAAGTCGAGCATAATAGCCGATTGATTAAAACTAAGTTTCACAAACTTGGCTTCCATTTCTTTTAGTTGCACCCTTTCAAATAAAAGACGGAAAGAGAAATATGGTGGAAAGAAAGGCTAATCTAGTTAAAATTGCACAAAGTTGGGCTTTTTTTTTTTGATAAATCACACAAAGTTATACATAGATTCTTTAGTTACACCCTTTCAAATACGTATGGTATAAAGTCAAAAACTTTACAATCATAATTTCAAAACATTGTAAAAACAATTTAGATACATGTGTGGCACTTCACCAAAAAGTTATTTACATGCTCTTCAATCGGCAATAAAATCACTCAACAAAGTATACTTAAACAACAGTCCAATCATTTTCATCTACACAAGGGGATGCATCAGCTTGAGATGTGCTGGGTTTGGGAGGCTTCTTTGAAAATAGAGATGGCTTCCCATCGAACAGATTAGAGAATACCTGACGTGTGGAAGTGTCATCCATGTTTTTCTGGTCTTTTGAGACAGGTTTTCTCCTATCCCTACCACCAAAGTTGAGGCTGAGTTTCATGAACCGACTTTTTGGCTCACCTGTGGTTTCTTCAGACTGGTTCATGATTATTAGGCTATCCTCAGGATGAATTAAGATCGTCTCCACTGTTTCATACACCTATACACCATTTTCCCTCTGTAAGCATCTGGTTTACCACGGACAATACAGGTAACTCCATTTCATCACACTACATTAGTAATTAACTCCAAACTCAAGCAGCTGAGCTTAATATGTTAAGAGTATTTCTATTTTTTTAACAGGTAAGGTAAGCTTAATATATTAAGAGTGAGCATTTCTATTAGGGTGGGAAGTTAGCAAGAAGCACTATCTGTTGCAGGTGGTGGAGATATAAAGGGATCCACCATGGTTGCCACCTCACAACGAAGACTTTTAGGTCAAAAGCTTCTCAAAAGTTCCCTGATCATCTACTTTTTTCTAAATTGATAGTCTTATTAGATATTTATTTCTGAATTGTTATCTGCCTACTTTTTATTATCAAAACAAAGTAAATAGATGGTAATGACCATTTGACTGGATTCACTTTTAATTTTAAAAGACCAGACAGTATCAATTAAATGGAGGATCACCCCAACCAGCATGAGTGACATGTAAGATATTATATTAGTACAAATATAGTCCAATTTATGATAACATAAAAGCAGGTGAATTTCTAGATCAAAGTCAAAACCTATGTGCAAGGGGCACAATAAAGCTTAGCTTGGGATCAAACTAGACCTAAAATCCAAGAAGGTTAAATTACACATGTTTGTTGACAATGATCAAAGTCTTGATTAGTGTTATCAATGCTGTGGGCCGATGACTGGTTGTTTTGGCCTCTAGTTTATTTGATGACTAGTAGGCACTGAATCCAGATCATTTATGTGTGTGTATAAATGTATAATAAATATAAACTATAATATCTGAATCAGTTAGTAGGATTTGAACCAATCCAAATATACAAAACATATAATTGAATATAACCCAGATCAGGGAGTATCTAATCTGAATCCAGATCATATATATCCCTGCCTGGAACCCACTCTTTGACTTGGTTCAGTGGTCCAAATAAATAGGCCTTGCCTTGTTGGAAATGAACATTAAATAGACAATAAATCTAGGGACTACCTGGCATAAATCATCAAGATTTTCACTCCAAATTTCACCCTGGCACATGGCAACCATGTAGTCCTTGCACTCGTAGAACAGCTTGGAAAAATGATTGTTTGTAGAAAGTGTAGCTTCAGAAATAACAAATCCTGAAACCAGCTGCACATTTAGGAAAAATATGATGCATTAGTACTACACAAAAAAAGTACTGAATATAAGGATCAAACATGGCTCAGATCCTACTCTGTTTCAGTCAATTACTTAGAAGTTGGAAGATTGGTTTTATGATGGAATCAAGACAAGAAGAAATAGGTTAAGAAGCTCTTGAAGAATAAGCAGGAGGTTCAAAAGAAGAACAAGGCACAAGGGGTCTATGCCTCTAAAGTGCACAGCCTTTACATGACTGTTAAGAACTGTTACTCCCCAACGTACAGACTGTTTCATAAACTAAAACTTTAAGGTAATGTGAAATAAATGGATAAGGTTTCCTCCACACAAGCCCAAAAGATGAACAAAGGGGTATATGCCTGTAAAGAGCACAGCCTTTACAGGACCATTAAAAAATGAAAAATGCAAATGAATAGATTTTCTATTAAGTTCACATATTGCTACATGATTTCAACAGTCATCTATCAGGGAGAACTATTAAAGCTGAATAAATAATAGCAGTAAAGTTTATAATAATTTCCACATTTACAATTTTTTTCTGAAAATTACCATGTGTACACATATTTCAAGGACAGGAAAAATGCATTTGGTAACTAAGTGCAGTTTCCTAGATATAAAGGTTACAGTCAACTAGAGAAACCAATACCAGATTTCCGACAGGAAAGCATAAGTAGTTTCTATTTGCAAAGTACACAAGAAATGGTATTGAAGACAGGAAGACATTGTTCATAAGGCACATAATAGAACTCACCAATGAAATAAAGAGCTGTTTAAGAAGCTCAGAAGGCTGGATATCCTCTAAAGCTTGCAATATGCCTTCCCTAGAAAATTAAAACAATCAAGCTATTGTCAAAAGAAGGATGTCCTCAGAAGAATTTAATATGCCTTCCCTACATAATTAAAATAATAAATTATTCTTGTCAAAAACCAATTTTTAGAAACATCATAGAGATAAAAATTACAGCTGGAGTGAAAAGGAACTTCAGCCATTTTATTGCTAAGAACTGACATGGGGCAATTGCAAGTCATATAAATATAAGGATGTTGCAGGAACAACCTGTAGAAGAAACTTTCCTACTTACACTGCCAAATCCTCATCAAAGAGTGGTGCTTGTTTTGCAGCAGGTAATGGTTTAGCATTCTCCCACAGTTCGCGCCATAAATTACCTACACATGGGTGAGCATAAATTATATGATTATTAGGCACATAAAAAAGGATAAGCTTTAGGAACTTATGTTTTCTGTGCAGTTTTGAACTAATTACGATTTTAGGCTAGGGACAATAACAAAATACTCTTAAATGACAAATGAGGAGATTTGACCTTCTTTTTGCATTCGACTACTCAATTGACCTCTCCTAGATGATGCATCTCCACCACTAGAGGAGTCTTTAGTTTCATTACATGGTTCAGTTTCCATCCAATCTGGAGGAGAATGCCACCTTACAAAGTCTTCTAATATGCATCCAGGATTTGCAGCCTATTACATGATGCTTGATCAATTTGACTTAAAAGAACAAGCAAGTAGTACATATATTAATAACATCACAAACCTAGAATGCACATAATCATCTAGAAAACGTATAAAAATGTAAAAGCTTCATTACTGAATTTCACCTTGAAGGATTGCATGTCAGAGAGGAGTTGAGAACACCCAGGACCAACACTGAGCATAACAGGAAAAACATAATGATTTGTTAATAGGTGCCTTCTGCTTATCATGGAATTAAATTAAAATTAACACTAAAAGAGATTGACTAGCATTAATTCCAAACATTATGAAGACCTGTAATAAAAAGTGACTTAAAATATCCTGTATTTAAGAGCCTATAAATAAAAAAACATAAGAAATATATAGTGTATTGTAGGATGTACCAACAGAAATACTAATAAGAGTTTCAATGGCAATAACTAATAACATAATAATCTGCCTTGTAATTTTTGTCACCTAGGCAGGCACCATGGTTTTCAAGCTAGGCACCTCCCTAAGGACATGTTGTCAGGTAAGAATCCAGAATCCAAAATTAAGATATCTGTTTACTACTGTTGAAATGCATTTTTGCCTTACACTTTCATTGAGTTGGTCAAAGAAAGAAAATTATCCATATTTGTATGATTGAAAATTTCTCATCTTTCTTCCATTTCTTATTTCCTTGCAATGCTTGGTGCATATTCAATCCCAACTCTCCAGTGGAGATCAATCAGTTCCTCTTGGTTTCGGGTAAAATTAACAATGTGTTTGCAGTTTTTATTCCCTTGAATATTTGATCAACTACATGTGATTAGTGGTATTGTCCTTCAAATTTGAAACCAAAAAAAAGAAAGAAAGAACACAGGTTATATGAAGACAAAATGAAAATAGAATCTCTTTGGAATAAAAAATGGAATTAAATGTATTTACTAAATAGACTAACCTCCCAGTTCGCAGCACAAACTCCTCTGTTTCTCTAATAAGTTCTTCAGTTAGAACAGGACCCTCCTACATGTGTGCAGATATGCTTCAATAATAGTCTCGGCATAGAATCACAAGGGAAGAAAAGCAAAAGCTCATCCAGTTAGGAATATCATAAACCTGAGTAACAGGAGAGTATACAGGTTCTCCTGTTTCTAGCATGGTTAAATTCTTTTCAGATGGATGATCCGCTCCTAATCGGAGAACAGGTTCACCAGTGCTAATCCTAGCATACAGAATAGGACTTGAAGAAACCACGTCACAAGAAACATCTGATTCTTCAGAATTTGGTTTGGCCATTCTTGTAACACAATCCAGTGACTCAGTGGCAATAATACGGCGTTCCTTCCTGGATATACAACAATTAATAACTTGCAATTGCTGATGCAGAAGACATGAATTCAGGTCTGGACTTTCATCAAGTGGCACACCAGGTACAGGCTGTCCTTCAGGCCACCGTCTTCTCAGCTGCATAAGAGTGAAAATTCATTAATGATGTCAAAGAGAATTGTCAGCTATGCAATGCAATTAGTTCATCGGATCCATGTAGGCCAGAAAACCATTGCACCTTTATCATCTAGAAAAAAAGAAAAGGACAATGAAGCATTTTTTTTTTGGCTAGAGTACAATTCTTTTGTACTTCAAATGGTTCTGGGTATGCTGTTCAAACAAGATTGATGATAGTTGGCAGGCCTCAGCAGGTACATTCTGAAGGGGGTTCATAAACAGTAAATGGCTAGTTTAGAGATGAATGTGAAGATCCATGGAGATTTCATCTCCATCATTTATGTTTCTTTTTTCTTTTTTTCAATTGGCAATTAAAATCAATTTTATTAAACGTGGAAAGAATAAAAGAATATACAGATAAGACTGTACAAGCAAGACCAACACCCCTACAAAGTTTTTGAACTCTTGTTATCAATCCACTTTTAATTTTTATACACCATCCTCCCATTCATTCTCAACACTCTCCTAAAACAACTGCTTCTTAGTGGTGTCCTGTCTAACTGAAGTATCAACCATGCTATTTGATGATCTTCTAGTCCAAAGCACCTGGTGTTTGGCTCCCTTACTAGCTTTAGTCAGTATCTTAGAGATTCTACAATTATGATGCCCAGATATGTCCACCCACATATTGATTAAAAAAATGTCTACCCACAGTCTAAATGAGAAATGGGAAAGAACTCCATTTCCTAAGATCCTGAATAAAAATATTGATATAGGCTCTTAACCTGAGCTGGACAGCACAGTCAGGTTACCCAGAATGCGTAGGCAGAATCACAAACACAAAGAAACTTGAAACAACAAACCAAAAAATAAGTAGTAAGAATATATATATATAGATAGATATATACAAGTTTCATGTGGTTCGAGTCGTTCGACTAGAAAGCATGCATCCACAGGAGAGATCAATCCATTATCAAAAGGGAGAAGAAATAACCTTCAATTAGAAGTGACCTTCCTCAGACTTTCTCAAACCCTAGCCAATACAATCAATGGCTTAAATATGCATTTAACTTAGAGTACCAGAAATTACATATAGGCCCATTATAATCTCAAATATGCCTTCAAGTCAGAGTACCAGCTTGTTAACTAGAAGGCATGGATAACAAGCTGGTAATGACTCCTGGCTGAAATTCTGGTTGGCTTTTTGGTGTGGAGACAGACCATTGGCAGAATCTTATTCCAGCCTCTTCAATGCAGCCAGCAACAAAGAGGCAACTCTAGCTGAGATGTTACTAATGAAGGAGCTAATGGCCATTGATCCCCTACTTTCAGAAGAAACCTATTTGAGTGAGAAATTGAAAGTTTAGAAGATTTGCTTCACCTGCAACATTCCAGCCTGTTTTCTCAGAAGAGGACAGTATAATATGGAAATGGGACAAGAAGGGAATTTTTATGGTCAAAAACATGGTTCAGCACTTTAACTTGGACGAGCCCACTTTTCCTCACAAGGTTATTTGGGCACGGAAAGTACCTTCTAAAGTTGCATTCCTGGTTTGGACTTCTGCCCATGTTAAATGCCTCACCAAAGACAACCTTAGCAAGAGAGGTATCCCTATCACATCCCCCAACTGTCCTTTATGCAATGCTACACAAGAAGATGAACCACCTTTTTCTGCACTGCCCAGTCAGCAGGCTTATTTGGAACCATATGCTGGTCAACCTGCACTTATGCTGGGTCTTTCCTAGCTCTGTCTAGAAATTTCTAAACAGCTGGAGAATTGAAGGTCTCTCTAGTAATGGCAGAGTCATCTGGAATATGATACCTGCAGCAGTTCTGTTGTCCATTTGGATGGAGAGGAACAGCAAAATTTTTTGAAGCCAGATCCTCTCACATAGAAGAAATCATGCACAACCATCCAGTCAAACCATCCAGAATCCATCTTTTTGTAACTATACCATTGTAAATTTGGGGATTCTACACCCCATGTACAGCATTCTGCCAACAGCCAAACCATCCAGTCTCTTGTGCCGTATCAGGTATATACCATTTCTGACACCAGTGCATTAAGCATATACGGGGATCAGGGTATCATATGGCTACAAATCTGATATTCAAATGGCTATAAATCTCAATGGAATTTTCCTAGACTATTTTTTAACAGTAACAATCAAATTTTATTAATAAAGAGAGATAGAATCCTTTTTTTAGATGAAATCTCAAAGGGGTTTTACGCTGAAGGGGAAATTTCTCAAGGTATAAACTCAACTTTCATAGTCCTAATTCCCAAAAAGAAGCAAAAAGTCCAAAGGGCTTCAGACCAATAAGCTTAGTGGGAAGCCTCTACAAGATAATAGCAAAGGTTCTTGCCGAGAGACTAAAAAAGGTATTACCTTTGGTCATCTCACAGCATCAAGGTGCCTTTGTTGAAGGAAGACAGATTATTGATCGGGTATTGGTAGCAAATGAATGTGTATCAGAAAAGAGGAGGAGAGGGAGGGGATTGGTAGGCAAATTGGACTTGGAGAAAGCTTATGACTTTGAGGACTGGTCTTTTATCCTAGAAATTATGGGGAGAATAGGGCTAGGAGAGCGGTGGAGAATGTGGATGAAGGGATGCCTTAGCTTAGTGCATTACTCAATCATGATTAATGGTGTGGAAAAAGATTACTTTCCAGCAAAAAGAGGGTTAAGACGAGGGAATCCCCTTTCCCCCTTCCTATTCACTTTAATTGCCGATGTCCTAAGTAGGATGATCATGGAGGCTGATCAGAGAAACCTATTTAGAGGATGGAAGGTACGAAGACTTGAGGTGGCAATCACTCATTTGTAGTTTGCAGACAACATCATTTTATTCTGTGAAGGAGGTAATCAGAAGAGTATAAGAAATTTGCATGAGCTCATTACTTCCTTTGAATTGATTTCCAAGTTGAAGGTAAATTGGAGAAAAAGTTGTTTAGCAGGGATTAACTTGGAAGATGAAAGTTTGAGAGAGCTAGCTGAGATTCTAGGGTGTGAGGTTAAACAATGACCATTGGAGTACTTAGGGTTACCTTTGGAAGGGAATCCAAGATCAGAAAACTTTTGCAAGCTAGTGGTGGAGAGGTTGCCAACTACCGGTCTATTTCCTTTCAACCTTTAGAATTCCAGTTAGAGTGGTAGGACTTATAGAAAAACTTATGAGGGATTTTCTCTAGGAACCTGGGGTAGAAAAGAGGGATCATCTAGTAAAGTGGTAACAAGTTAGCAAAACAAAGGAAAAGGGAGGTTTAGGTTTGGGGAATCTAGTTCACAAGAATACTTCTTTGCTAGGAAAGTGGTAATGGAGGTTTCCTTTGGAAAGAGACAAGTTGTGGCATAAGGTGATAGAAAGCATTCACGGGCTGATGAACAATGGCTGGAATGCAAAGGTAACCCCCACATCTTCCCCGAGTTCTCCATGAAAAGCAATACAAGAGGTATATCTTATCTTTCTTAATCTCATCAGATTTGATGTGGGTTGTGGTTCTAAGGTGCTTTTTTAGGAAGATCTTTGGTTGGGTGATACTCCTTTTTGCTCCCTTTTCACCAATCTTTGTTCAATCTCTAGTTACAAATTACAACCCGTTTCAAATTTTGTCACCTTTTCTCACTCTAGTTTGAGTTGGGATTTTGGCTTCAAAAGAGGTTTGAGGGATAATGAGTGTGAGTCCCTTATTTGTTTGATTGATATTCTTAAGTCAGCCTTCTTGGATCAATCTTTGGAGGACACTAGAGTATGGTTTGTTTCTTCTTATGGCATTTTTACTTGTGCTTCGTTCTTCAATACCTTGTACAAACTCCTGTTGGGGGTGAGAATTTCCCTGTGAAAGTATCTGGTGCTTTACATGTCTTTCTTCGAGAAGCTGGTCATTGGGCCCATCTGTCTCTGGTGTCTGGTGCTTTACACGTCTATGCTTTTACAAGAACTACTGATTTTCATGAAACTCATGCAGTCTTAGGATCAGCAAACTGCATGGAGTTATGAAAAACATGAAGGTCAGCGGGGGAAGCTTGGAAAGAGGGAGGGAAGGTCAGTTCCTGCAAGCAAAAAGATGGAAGAAAATGTTGAAGGTGGAAGCGAAGACTTTCATCTTGGAAGAAATCTGGACTAGAAATGGACTCTCTCTAAAGATTGTAGAATCGAGGAAAGCTTCTTTGCTTCTCSAAGGAAGGGCGRTACCATGGTTCCAAGGAGTTCTCGGTGGAGCTAAAATAACAGAAAAATCAAGGGAGTGGAGGTGCTGTCTATTGGAACAGAACAGGAATTACGTGGCTGAAAGAAAAGAA